TTAAACAAACATGGAGAATATCAAGTTCATAACTTTCGATTTAAAATTTGACATTGGATTTGTGATACGTTAACTTTTTCAATGAAGGATACAATCGTTCCCAAGAACTAAACTCCTAATCCAGCACAATACTATCAACATAGTGTTAAGCATAATTTACCATAAATATATAAACAAACAATGAAAATAAGTGTTTCAAAAAATGACAAACGGCAGAATGAAAAATAAATTTGTTTTAATAAAAAGTTAATAATTCTACCATATTTAGTTGACAAATTAAAATAATCAATCCTATGATTTTATCTAATAGTTTTCATACCCACATCTAATAAACTCGGCCTAGGTGAGAATGTGAACTCGATTTTAAGTTTTTTTTTTAAGTGTGAGGCTAGGCTAAGTTTAAAATTTGGTTTTAGGTGCGAGATTGGGTTCGACTTACCTTATCTTCAAGTCAGTAATGGCTTTTATTACTTTTGAGATGGCTTTAGTGTATACGTATTTTCCTAGGTGCGAGAACTGAGGGAACCTATAAAAAAGTCAAAACAATCAATATATATTTCACAATCATCTTCTTCTTCTCGAATTCAAAATTCCACTCAAGCTTTTCTAAAAGCTCATAATGGCCGATGAACAACAAGCCTTCATAGACTGATTGGTTGGCTTCTTCTTTGGAAACGTTATCTCGATCGCGGTACAAGCGACCGTCAACTTTCTGGTGCGGTGGTGTGGCGCACTGACGCGACGTCACAGATCAGAAACACTCAAAATCACGTTTGCTCTGGGCCTCCATTCGAGGCTAGTTAGTGTGTCGTAGTGCTTACGTTAGATATGTTCAAGGGTCAAGTGAGAAATGATGTCCAAGTCGAGAACCGGTATGCGGTGGCTCTGCTCAAGTTGGTCCAAGCTATAGTGGTGGTTGGAATCATGAGCCTCTTCCTCTTCATCTCAGACGTACTCTCTAGGGATGCATATATTGATGGTTGGAGCATGTGATTATTTCTCTTCTCACATCTACACTTATTATAGTCATGCTTTCGGTTCATAATTGTTGGCAACATCGAGAAGTAGCGGACATGAGTATATTTGTTTTGTAATTGCTAGCGATAGTATAGGTCACTAAATCAGAAAATTAAAACACTTAAAACTTTATTTTCTAAACTTTTAGTCATCACTATTAAGTGTTATCAAAAGTAATGATTTTCATTGAATATGATGATGTTACATTTACACAAAGATTGTAATGTAAGCTTAGAAAATACAATATTTACTAATTAATGAGAATTTTATTGGTCAATGACATGTATCAGTCATATCTTAAATTTCATAATTGAATATCTCTAATAACTATTCGTCAAAAGATTGCTAAACTATTGACTACAAAACAAACAAAATTTAGTCGTTGTTAATGATTGATGAATCTACAAAATGAACAACACAATATGTCATATTATTGATATTTTCATTAATCACTATTGCTAACATTGTAACTATTATGAAACAAACATGGCCAATAATAAGTTCATAACTTCGGATTTTAAAATTTGATATTGGCTTTGTGATAACGTTAACCTGGTCTATGAATGATACAATTACAAAAGCATATTTATATAAGATCTTTCAAACTTTCTAGTGGCTTAATGCAGATTTGCTTGCGACCATAACTAAAACTTTAATCTTTCACACCATTTTATTAACATAATTTACCACAAGTTCACACGAAATAATAATAAAGTCGTAAAATAAGTAACAATCGACATAATGAAAAATAAATTTGTTTTTATAAAAAATTAATAATTCCACCAAAGTGACAAAGTAAAATAAATAATCCTATAATTTCATCTAATGTTTTCATATCCACAGTTGAAAATTCTACGAAGTTAATTGCCGCAGCAGTTTCAATAAGGCTCAAGCTTAACATCTCCGATGTTGTCAAGTCCATCATCATTATCATCACCATTAGTAATGAAAGATGAGACAATGGTTCCACTATTATAGCCATCAACAAGAAGCCTAGAAATCTTAGATCTCCATTCCGATGTCTCTTTTCCGCTCTTCCTGTCGTGGAAGACTCTATCGCGGTAGTTTAGCATCGTCCCTAGCCCCGTGTTCGCAACCCAGCCGTACTTCATCAGTACTTCCGCTTCACTTTCCGTCATATCTTCTCCTACCTTTTTGTTTTTAATTATCCGCAGTTACAGAGAGATTTCAGAATAATAAACTCTAGATAAGAACATATCGGATCATATAAACCGGTGAGAGAGGAGGAATTTACCAGTAATGGCTTGTTTTCAATCAGTTGATATCGGCCACAGCTGGCTAGTTTCATGGCCAAGACTAACCGTTTGATCTGCCATCCGATTGATGCAGTGTTGCTGAGCTCGAAGAAGTATGTTGCATACCCATATTCAGGCCGTTCCATTACTATCCTGTATCCAGCAAAAGATATTGATGAAGTTTTTAGTTTAGCCGCAATGACAAAGGAGAGAGAAAAACAGAGAATTAACTTACCGGTTGTGTCTCTCGAAAACGAATATGAAAGACTGGAGATCGCGGCACCAGCCCCACTCAACAGGCCATTTGCGGAAACGCAAATACCGTGCCTTGAAAACAAGAGGAAACAAGTTAGAAAGAAAGGGAAATACAGGAAAAGCCAAGAAGACCGGGATGTAGAATTTCAACCTGTTCGATGAGGGAGAATAGACAGGTCAAGCAATAGCTAGTTCTTGAAGCTTTTGAAAACTTTAAATTAAGAAGTTTCGTGCCCGTCTCGCGTTTAAAGAAAAGCTGATAATTTTTAAAAAGATTCAATCTATTGACACATAGCAGGAAAAAAAAAGCTGCATTTGCAAGAAAAATAAAGGGATTTTGTTTACCTGCGAGATCACATCTTCGAGCTCCGAGAAACTCTCTTCCAAAAGTGAATCACATTCACCGCTAACTTCATTCTCCCCATAAAGCCTCAGTTCACCTATTGATACACCTTGTTGAATCAGTACCTGCAAACAACAGATTTGAACACACAAACTCTAAGAAATCTAATTTGCAGAAGGTACCATTAAATTAAATTTTGAGAAGACAACTATGATACCTGCAAAAGACCAGGAGCGTCTTCCTCCAGAGCTGTCTCAATTGAGTCCCTGTAATGGTTTTATCATATCATAAGATAACAAAAGAAACATAAACTTATCAAAAGATACAGATACATGAGACGACGAATCCAACAGAGAGACTCACGTGGCTGTTTTCTTTCGTTTCCAAGGACGCAATATCTTCAAAGGTTTAACGTATTCATCAGATGTACAGAAGCTAAACCCTGAGGACGGGGATTTTACATCTTCATGGTGACCTGGACCATGAAAAGATCGAAGCTTTAATCGATCAATTAATTTCATGTGGTCTATCTCATCTTCATCCAATTCACAAGCGGTCGCTCCTTCATTTTTCACAAACCTAGAAGGATTTGGAGCAGGTGTACAAAGATTCAAGCGATAGCTTAATTTAGTGCAATCTAGCTCATTTTCATCATGAGCTTCATCATTGGTTTCCACCTCTCTTTTAACCTTTACTTGCTCTGAGGTAACAGGACTTCTTTCCTCATTGTCCTCCATGACACAATCACTCAAAGACTCATGATTCGTCTGCAATTCACTCACATTCGAAGGGAGATGATTCTTTTTTATTCTTTTACTCGGGTTTTTTGCCACAGGTTCATAACCGGTGCTAGCTAATGGATAGTGTTCGTAATCTCTGCTAGATAACTCAGGCAGACTACTGGCTTCAGGTGATAAACTAAACGACTTTTCGTGAGCTTTCGGAATATCCCTCTCTTGGATTCCAATAAGCGGATTTCCAGATTCTAACCCTATACTAAAATTCTTACAGAGGACAGAATCAATTTTCTCAAGAAAGCCGCTGAAATGGACCTCAGAAGACGAAGCTATCCCATTTTCGCATGAAATCTCGGCTTTTATTTTATAAAGATCTGTACCATCGCAACCTTTAGTATTATCCTGCACTTGACATGAAGATAGCTAGTTAGCACTAATAGATCCCAGAAAACAAAAATACCAAATCCGGAGGAACTTGTCACTTTGTTACCTCTAAGTTGGATTCTGGCAACGTTAAAGCCATCCTGCAACAAAGAGTACGGTAGACCAGACACTGTTAGACAATAAACAAACACGGGTGTGTAGAGATGCAGAAAAACTATTCGCCGTGCTTGAGACATAACATGTTAAATATGAAGCACCTTTCTAGAAGCATTTTGCGTCGCTCTTTGAGTGTGAGATGTTCAAGAACATCAACCCCAAGGGTTTCTTCGATTTGTCCTACTCTTTCGAAGTTCTCTTCAGCATTACTACAGCATACTAGAGTGTTGTTCTGTGGTCTTACGTTTACAGAATCATCTAGACCTTGACTACAACCAATGCTTGTAGATTCCGAAATTTCTACAGATTCTGGAGGATCACAGTTTGACACTACACCCTGAAAACTACATGATCAGTTCTCTAAACTTAATATCAACAATGGCGAAATTAACTGTAACAAAATATTTCTTAATCCAAAATTTACCAGCTCATTGAAGCAATCATCTTCTTCCCTTTTCACTATACTATCAACATTCGATCTATAAAAAACAGAAGAAACCAAAGAACACATATGTGAATAAACAGATACTAAAAAGGGTTCGAAACCACCAGTGAATTGAATAACAACGAAGACAACACTCACGCAGACACAGAAGCAGCGATACGTTGAGAGACTCTCTCATTGGATTGCAACAAACTCCGCCTTGTCGTCAAGGGGAGGTGGTCTAACTGAGGGAATATAATTTCAGATTCCGACAGAGAGATGTTGGTAGGTTCATGACACATCTTATACATCCAAATCAGAGTGATACAGAGGAAAAGTACATGGAGATTTCTCAACAAAAGAACCAATTTTGGATTAGAAATCAGGGAAAGAGCAAAGAAAACAATAGCTTGGAGATACGAAAATGGAAGCCAAAGAGAAGGGTTTGTTAAGAAGGTAAGAAGAATGAAGAAAGGAATCTCATTGGGACATTAACACAAGGAGATTGTCGAAAACCCTGGAAACAAACAAGAAAGAATCTTTTGTCACCATTAACAGTAGAAAAAATATGGGTTTAGCCAAAATTGAGAATTAACCGAGAAAAACAGAAACCTTACTTGTGCAAATTCGATGTAACACTGAAGAAAAGACGCTCTTCACTGGTTCGACAAGTAGAGAGAGAGAAGATCGTTTTTTCTATTATCGAGAAACAGAGCCAAGAGAGAGAGAAGGAGAAAGTGCACTTCGAGGAGAAGTTGATTTGGGCTAATGGGCCTATTGAAATAAAACCTAAAGGCCCATTAAAGAGATGTAAAACCCTAAGCTATAAATGTAGACTTTTTCTTTGATCTAGCCGCAAGATTGATCTCCAAGAAAATCGATTCTGTTACCAAAAGATGCGATTTTCTTGTTCTGATTTTCCGTTTAAAATCCGAATTTTTTGCTTAGGTTAAGAAATTAGCATTCAAGGGAACAGATTTGTGTGTTTTGAGTCTTTAAGCTTTTTTATCATTCGTGTAGCTTCAAAGAATCGTACGTTCCTATGCGAAATCAATCATCTTTATTGATGGTTTTGAGTCTCTGGACATGTAGAATTCTGGGTTTTTTTCCCTTTGTGGATTCTATCATTTTCTCGAGATTCAACAACTTTGTGTGTTTTGTGTTTCTTTTAGATCTTCTGATTTCGATGATAAAGTTTTAACCTTTTTTTGATATTTGTTTTGTTTTTTTGGCTGGCTGCTCTATGATGATTTATCTTGCTTTAACCACACTGAAAAGATGGGATTGAGATTGTGTTGTGGTACTTCTTTGGTTTAAACTGTAGAAAGAATCGATTAGATCTCTGCTTTTCTTGATGACACTTTGATCTAACCTACTTGAAAGGTTTTCTCCTTCGTGGTTTAGATTAAGGTAGAGAGTAATGTGGAGGTCTAATCAGACATTTGATCTTGGTTTAAATCTTGAAGAACATGACATGTTTTCAATCTCACTCATGTGGACAACCTTGGCCCTTGTCTGAGAAGCAGCTTTTTCATAATCAGTACTCTAGATTTAATGTTTTTGTTTTTCTAATTTTGGTTTGCTCTATGATGATTATCTTGCTTTAACCAAACTGAAAAGATGAGTTGGGAAATTGTTGTGGTACTTCTTTATTTATTGGAGCTCTGTATTGTTTGATGACACTTTGATCTAGAATGCTTGAAAGGGATCTTTTGTTTTCCTTTTGTGTTTTAGATCGAGGAAGAGAGCAATGTGGAGCTCTGGTTTGACATTTTCTTAGTTTAAATCTTGAAGGACCTATACATTTTCTCATGCTCTCATCTGTGGAAACTTTTGGCCCATTATCTGAGAGCACCTTTGTAAAATTTTGTCTTTGGTTTCTGTATTATGATCCTGGTTTTTTGTACTCTTTTGATTATTTCCGATAATTTTGATTTTGTTTTAAAATTCGAATAAAATGTTGGATGGCATTTTGTTCTAATAGCATCTCCATCAACTGTATCTCTTAGTATACCTTAACAATATACTCTATGAGACACCATTGATGGAGATGCTCTTTGATACTAGATTGTTCCATTTTTTTATTTTTTCTTTTTGCGAAGATGTCAAAGGCCTCTCTTGTTTAAAATTATGTCTTGTCTAGAATCAACCAAAGCATCAAAAACTGTTTGCTCGTAATTTTGACAATCCGATCTTTAAGCTAAGTATGCCCATTACAATTAGTAAAAATTGAAAAATGTAAATGGCGAAACTGTCTTTAGACATGATTGATTTGAACATGACATAATTAAATGTCTATTAATTGGTTACGAAAGCTGCATGCGCTTCTTGTGTATCCGGGTTTGAACTCATGGAATTCTGGTATAACTTGATCCCAAATTTGAATTACTTGAAGGAAAGCGTATTAACCCTATCTATCATTCTTTCGAAATTAAGTATCTACATGCTACGGTAAAAAAGATTCAGAGAGTACATGTTTTCTGATGGGA